GTATTTAAGGAATATCCATTAAATTACTGCAAAAAGAAAAGGAAGAAATGAAATTAGCATTGTTCACAAAATATCTATCGCTTAAAAAATGTATGCTTTTTGATAAAATGACCAAGAAAAAAAAATGACCCATAAATATATTTGGAAGAAAATATAGCTCGTCCATGTTTAAAAAAAAGCATTATAAAATTGAAATTTTGAATCTAAAAATAAATCACATATCATTACAGTGATTTAAAAGAAAAGACGGAAGACTAATTAATTATGCTAAATGAAACTAATTAAAATAAGATGGAAGAAATTTATGAATCATAAATGAAGCAACATAACAAATTAATAAATAAAATGGAAAAAATTTTTCCATGTTCATCTTTTTCAATTACTCTAAAGAAATATTCAAATAATATTTGACATTTAAAAAAAAAAAAGAATTTGCAGCGAAGGTAAAAAAAGAGAGAAAGAAATTTTTCTAAAATATTACTCCGACCAAATTTTGATATTATTAAAGTATGATAAACTTCCGCTTATATTGAATTACAGTGAGAATTAAAATTATAAATCAAACAATACAATTAGAATTTTCACAAAATGGTTGTATGAAAGTGAAGAAAATATTGCAAAAGCACAAATGTTTCAAATTAATTTTCCATTTAACTTGAAATTCTTTTTCATTTAGTAATTTGTCAATATGTTTCTTAAAAAAAAAAACTCGGAGAGAGAGAGAGAGAGAGATAAAAAAGTAAAATGAGAGAAATGAAAATGCGTTTATATCAATAACACATTTATGTCAAAATTGAAGGTTATACGACTGTTTGAAAAATGATATCTGACATATTTTAACGGAATTTTTCGATTATTTCAATTCCAAATTTGACATTTTCAGCAAACATTAAAAATTTTATAAAATAGTTCTTTTTTCCATCCAAAAAATAATACATTTTTCAAAGTCATCAATATTACTTCTTGAAGAAAAAATAGAGCTAATAAAAGTTTGAAACTTGTCAAATTTTATTTTCCTGAAGAAAATATTCATTAATGATTTTTAACTAGAAAAAAGCAAGTATGTCTAAAATGCTAGTAAGATTGCTAGGCAACTAAATTTGTTTAATACTAATAAGTCAATCTAAATTTAGCCTATAATTGGCCAATGATAGCACATAATTTTAAACTGAATATTTGAAATTTGAAGTTTGCTTCTCTTTTTCTTTTTTTCGAGAGAAGGAAAGAGGGAAGCAAACCAATCGAAAATGGAATTATCCATCAAAATTGGTGAGGGATTTAAATTTCAAGCTAATCTAATCAAAGTAATCTCAATAAGAGCATTTTTTTATTATTATGAAAAAAAAATTGCAAAAAATTTTTTATTTCTATTTTTCCTCCTTTTTAAAATAACAATACTAGCGAATATGCCAATTCATATAATTCACATAGAGATTAAAGTCAATTAAAAAAAAAACCTATTCATTAATTACAACAAAAAAAAGAGAAACAAAAAGAAGAATAAAATGTTGATGAGGAAAGTTTTTAAAAAAAAAATTGAAAGAAAACAATTTTAAAATTAAATGATAAAAATTTGCATTTAAAATTCATTTCTTCTTTTCTTCTATCGATTTTATCGCATTCGAATAGTACAATTTGAAACAAATAATACTTCGTATTTCGCAATTTTATGCATATAAATATATAATTATTGAATTTGCGAAGAATGAATAAGCCATTCAATCGTTTTATCATATCTGAAAATAAATATTAAAAAGATAAGTAAATAAATGAATATAGTAATTAAGAAATTTGTTTTAATTGCATTGAAGCATAGCTAAATGAGAATGGATAATGTTTTATGCTAAATAATAAAGCAAAAATGATAAAAAAAAATCAAAATTGCATATGACATTTGCATATCACTACGTCATGCATACCACGGCAACAGTATTACAGTAATAAGCAATAGTAAAGGATAGAAGGAAAGAAAAAATGAGAAAAAAAATTGTAAATAATAAAAGAATATGCAAAAAAAAAAATGGAAAAAAGAATGATGGAAAAAAATTAGAAGAAAAGATATTTACAAATAAAATTTCAAAATAAGTTTATTCGAAAATATAAAGAAAATTAAATAATGGAATATGAATTAAACTACAAACAAAAATATTGAAATCATAACTAACTAATAATGAAAATATGAATAATAATTTCATTTAAATAATAATCATAAATGTTTTCATTTGCAAAAAATGTGCTAGAAAAGATAGTCTAAATTATCAAAGATTTACAAGCATTTTTAACTAACATGTTATGCATCAAACAAAACTTGAAACTAAAATTTTTTGAAATTGTTTAACCATTGACATTATCTAATTCTTATATAAATTAAATGTAATTATGTAATAATAATCGTTATTATTGTATAAAAACAATAATTAGTATGATGAAAATATTTTTCAAATAATAAAAATCTAAAAAGCAAAAAAGGGACAAAAAGGAAAAGGAAAAATGATGAGCTTCCTGAAAATTTTTGCTCATTTAAGAAACAATTTTTGATGTTTGAAAAATTTTGATTTGAGAATGAATAACCTAATAAATTGATAGAAATTAAATTCATAATTTCATTTTTTTCATGAATGCTTCTCTTTTTTGCTTTTTCAAATAATTTTCATCATTTTATCTCATACGACTAATTACCAGATTTGAATATTATATATATATATTTTTTGCATGTTCAATTAATCAACAATATCATTCATCTCCTCAATATCATTAAGAAAGTAAGAGAGAAAAAACTGTTTGGATGAAAAATCATTCAATGCGATCATGACCATTTAATCAAAGCAATAGTAACAAATGCATGAACTAAATAAAAGTTTAACTTTAAGCGTAAATGACGTTAGTCAACGTTTAAAGTTTAATTTAATTTTAAGCGTAAAAGGCGATAATATTTGATGAAAGTACACATGCAAAATAGAAAAAAGCACATGAAATATTTGTACCATATAGTATATAAGGTAGGAGCAAAAATATTGTCACTATTCGTTTTAAACTATTGCAAAAAGAAAAAAAAATATTCACTCATTTCAAATTCCATTATATATTTCAATTCAACTATTCATTTCCAGCTCGTTCCACTTTTTTTCACATTTCTTTAAAATATAAAATTTAATTTTAAAAAAAAGGGATGAAAATTTTAGAATATTTTTTAGCTACCCTTTTCCTTTTTCCCGATTTTTATATTTTTAACTGTCAAAAACTTTGAAATTATTTTAAATTTTGAAAGAATGGATAATGGATAATGGATAATGTTGATATGAATAGATAGCGTTATGACTTTGCTCTTACTTATTTGCTTACTTACTTGCAACAAATAATAGTAAATTTTAAAAATTGAGTACTTTCTCTCTTAATTTTGAGTACTACTTCTAACCATAATAGTTTTGGAAATTTTTTTTTAAATTCATTACATGTATGCACACAATTTATATTTCATTTCAATTTTAATTAAAATATTTCTATTGAGTGATGGAAAGAGATAAAGTATTAAATTGAAATAACTGATAAATAAAAGTTGGAATTTGCTTGATTCTTTCTGATAAAAAATTTTAAATTGAAGGAGCATAATGAATTACACAAAATGTATTTTGTACGCGATTAAATTTTGATTGGCAATATCTCTTCCATTTGATTAAAAAATTTGAAATATATCTTTAAAAAAATTAAAAGATTTTATCATAAATACATAAAATAAATAAATAAAAAATGTTCATGGAAATGATTACGATTTGAAAACGCCAATAAATAGATATAAATATGCAAAAATAAATAAGTCAATAGAAAAATGCCAAAATAAAAATTTTAAACATATTAAAACAATAATATCCTTATCATTAATATTTTAGTAATAAATGCTTAATTAAAATAATCACTTTTTTGACACTCGTTAACTTTTTTGCTTTTTTTTCATTTTTTTTTTTGCATATTTACTTATGTTGAATGTGCAGTGCTAAATAAATGGAAGCTAAAAATATTGGAAAGAAGAATTAGCAAATTTTTTTGTGAATGATAAAAGTATTTTTTGCACTATTGTGAAATTTTTCTAATTTTTTCTAGCATTTTAATCTTTTTATAATATTTTGATCAATTCTGATATTTTAATCTTTTTTTAAATATTTTTAATTTCCATTTAGCACATATACGTACACAACGATTACATATGAAACAAAAACTTACCACGGTGAATGACAAAGTGTTGCCTCATTTGACTTTTCCCACTGAAATAAATGTTGCGGCAAGATTGATTTCTATATAATAATAATAGTATTAGCAAATGATATCAGTGATAATGATAACAATAATAATAATAATAATAATAATAACGGTAATGCTAATAAATGCATTTATTAGGAAAAGTGATGAGAAATTTGAACTGCCATTCATTGTAGTATGCCACCAACCTATTAAAAATGATTTGTAATTGTAATTTCATTAATTTACTTAATTCGACCTATATTTTAATATACTTTTTTCTTTGATGTTAATTACAAATGTTTTATTAATTCATTTTTTCTTCTTCCAAATCTTAAATAATTCTATGCTTATCTATTTAGTTGCTTTTGTTGAAAGAAAAATAGACGAAGTACTTTCAACAAAAACATTCTTTCAACAAAAAAACAAAACAACTAAACAGATAAGCATGGAATGATTTAAGATTTGGAAGAAAAAAAATGAATTAATAAAACATTTTGTAATTAACATAAAGGAAAAAAGTATATTAAAATATAGGTCGAATTAAGTAAATTAATAAAATTACAATAGCAAATCATTTTTAATTTTTTTTTAGAAATTTCATTTGTAATTAATTGAGAAATTTCAAAAAATTTTCAATCATAATATGGGAGAGACACATTTATTTTTTACAAATGGAATTTATTTGAAAGTCAGATTTCATTTTCCAAATAATTCATTAATTGTTAGTTGGGTTTTTTAAGAATTTTATGCTTATAATTAAGTAACATTAAAAAATTAAACTAATATTTTTGTATTAGCATTTTACTTCAATCATCCTATCTAAAATATAAAAAAAAAATGTACAAATTAATTTATAAATATTAACTTACAACGGGCTCTTGATGACCTTTCTTCGTTCGATATGTATTCACTGCATCGATTATAAATTTAAACATTTCTACCTGACAACTATAAGCTTTTGGTGTTAATTTGATAACAGTATGCAATGGAACATTCAGATATGGTAGTTCCGAATAATTTTTATTATCGAAATAAGCCAAAATACAGCGTAAAATAGCCTAAAAGCGATGAGTAAAATTTCTTTTTTTTTTCAAATATTAATATTTATAATTGAATCAAATTTCGTTAATGGTAACAATAATTTCACTTGCATAAAAGAATGATTTAATCTGTAATTATTGAATTTTCATGAAACTTAAATAATCAGAAAAAGAAATTTTTTTCAAAAATTTAAACTAAACAAAAAAAGGAATGAATACCTGATGTGATACAACAAGTACGTTACTTTGTCGTTCCAATTCCATAATTACTGGTTCTAATCTTCCAACTAAATCTTCATAACTCTAAAAAATAACCAATGGAAATGCATATGTAGCATAAAAATTTTAAAAATCAATATCACTATTCTTTAACATATACCAATTCTATTGAACCTAATTGCTTCAACAAAAAAAAAAAAAGAGAAAAAAAAAAACAATAATACAAGAGAGTAGTGAATATTATTACTCTTTTTTTCATTTTTGAAATTATGCAAAAATTAACTTACTTCACCTGATGGATAACGATAGTGATATTTATCTTTATCACGATCAGCAAATTGTTTTGGATATCGTTCTTCGAAATCGGTGTATGTCAAACCTTCACAAATACCCTTAAAAGAAATCACATTCATTCATTTTTCATGAGATATCATTAAATATTTGATAGAAAAAAAAAAAAAAAAAACATTACGAATAAATTTATTGATATCTTTTCTAACATATTATAAACAGAGGAAAAGAAGTAAAAAAAAAAATCCAGGAATTTAAGTGTATTATTAAAATTTTAAAATCATTTTTTCTTATAGCCGAAAAAAAAAATGCAAATAAATGAACAAACAAACTTACCGCATCAATTTCATCCAGTACTTTGAGAAATTCAATATGAACTGCTAAATCGCTTAATTGTTGAGCTGTTTGGGCAGCACGAATTTTTTGTGAACTCCAAATTCTAAGATCACCCGGTATTTTTTCAGCCTAAGAATATTCCAAAAAAAAAAAAAAATTGTCAAATTTAATTAAAATCAAATTACTGTTTAGCAAAATAGAATTGAAATGTTAAGTACGATATTGATAATTATATCTAAGTAAATATTTACATCAATCACAATCGAGAATACTGCTGAGCAAGTTAAGGCTATTTTCAAATTATTTTCACACAATTATCAACTCACTTTCTCATTGGATTAACTTATTTAAGCTTAATAATTAAGTTTCAACTAATAAAAGTCTAAATAACGATTGAATTAAATTGAATGATCAAATGGCTGATATATAAGTTAACGGTCGTTTTTTTTTTTATATAAATCAGAAAATTGCGCTAACTTGGAAAACTAAATTTCGAAAATAACCATTGTATAATAATATGTAATTAAGCGGACATTGTATTAGAATAATAGGTTTGATCCGTGTTCCAAATAATATTTGCTTAAAAAAATTTTAAAACCTTGAAATATTCGCGCAATTTTTTAGCATATTCGATGCCATTAGCGCTCAATGGACTATCACCGCCAAGTCTACCAATTCGATTATATTCACTCTCACCGTGCTGCAAATAAATTTTATATAAAAATTTAATTTCCAATACTTCATTTTAAATTTTAACACAATATTTTTAATAAATTTCAAATATAAATAAATTCAAAAGTGGATTCCAAAAGCAAAAAGTAAAAAACGAAACTAATAATGTAAAAATAACAATAGCTCAAAAATTAGAGACGAGCATTTT